TGTTTTTTTTTTTTTTTCCTTCCGCTGTTGCATGCTTGCGAAAATAAGGCAACGAAAGGAACGGAGGACAGGGTGAAATAAATTAATCGAAAAATGGTGAGCTACCTGGTCACTTAACATTTTTTACAACCTCTCCCGTGTGCAGGCCTTCCCCGAACAGGCGCAGTCGGGAAAAGAACCCAAAACGGGTTGGTAACACGTTCTCACAACATTACCGATTTGTGGCTTGGTCTTTTCTCCTTTATCCCTTCCTGGGTTACACACCCCAGTACACACACACGTACATAAATAAATATACGAACAGAAGGCGCCATTTTTCCTGCATACGATTTTGTAAGCCATTTCCCCCCAGAGCGCTTTGTTCCCTCACTTGGATGTGCGAATATTTGTCCCACCGTCTGGATGCGTATCCATGGGAACTCATACGTGTCTGTCTATATATGTACATATGTGTGTTTCCCCAAGCGTACTTGCTCATAACGCACATCTACCTTTTGTGCAACCAGCCGAATATTCAAAATCCGAGCCGTTTCGCTTAGCACAGCGATGAAGTAGCCGTGGTGTCTTTCCATTTTTAAATTTTTTCCTGCGAAGTGTTCATTTTTTAAGGCAAGTGAAAAGGTGTGTGTGAAAATGCGAAGCGCACGGTTGAGTAGGAGGCAGACATACCGCTGCAAGCCAAAACAGACGCAATCTAAGCGCTTAAGGGGTGATGCGGTTGTTTGATCTTTTGTTTTTTTTTTTTCATTTTTTCCATTTTTTCAATTTTTCCTACCAGAATTTGTGAAATTTTAATTCGTTTTGTGTGAGCCTGTTTGTCCCTAAATGGGGGTGTTTACGGAAGTGTTCACTTATATGTGCCCCCTTTTTTTTTTAACTCACCATATCCGTTGTTGGTATCCATCTTCCACGCTTCTTCAACCTTCTCGATGAGAACATACGGACAATTTTTTCTTTTTTTTTTTTTTCTTTATTTCCTGTATTTTCGAATGGGAGTGGGGCCAACTGACTCCTCACAAGATCGTCATCACATGTGTAACCATCTCGCTATTTCTTCATAATAGGAATATTGGGGAGGGACATTCCCCCTGTTCTTCCGTTTACCCCTTCTGACGTGTCTGTGCATGGTTACTTTCCGACGATATTTTGTGTGTATTCGCCGCTTCTGCCTTTTTTTTTGGAGGACCTCTTATTGATCCAGAGTTGGAAAGAATATATCCCGTGAGGCGTCCCAGTACAGCGTATCGAATCTGTAGATAACGCAATTGTTCGAGGTTACACGTTTTACGAGCTTCTATATATGTGCCTTCTATTTTTTTATAGAGAAAAGCACGTTGGACCCAATGAGTCACGAGTGGTCCGATGCCCTCCAATGGAGAGGCAACAAAAGCCTGGAAAGTGGAAGAGAAGAAGAAAAGAGAGAAAATTGCCATGAACTCATAAACGACAAAATCTTCGTATACAGATGTAACACATGCTTGCTGGTATTCACCTGTGTGCATTCGTTTTCAAATCATGTGTTGAGTGAGAACCACCAAATAAAACAACTGAACTCTCTGAAGAAGGGAAAATATTTTAACTGCCTGAGGTGTAAGTACGTCTGTCTGAGCATAGCCAAAATGATAAGTCATATCGAATTGTACAATCACGGTCACAACATTTTGAGGAAAATCAAAAGGAATATGATTTATAATGGAATTGCTTCCTGTTCATGTCCAGTCAAATGCTACACGTTTTACTCACAAAATAAGAATTGCCTGACTACTGGGGATCCCATTGTGGCCGAGTATGAAGGGGTGCCTAATTTGCAACCGATCGATGCAGGTGGCATGTGTCCATCGGATCAGAGTGATTCTCATTATGATGGAGATCTGGAGCTCTTGCCAAAGGAGGGGGGGATACCTCCTAAGGAGCGTAACTTACTTTTGATGGGTCATTCTAACGATTTGATCCCACTTTTTCCTTCTACCGATTTCTGGGGGAGGGGACGCCTAGGGGGGAACTCCCTCAGGAGGAAAACATTGGGCTTTATTCTCAGCACCACGGGTGGGGAAGCATCTAAAGAGACAGTTTGGGATGCATCTAAGGGGACAAATGGGGATGCATCTAAGGCGACAAATGGGGGTGCATTTAAGTCCCCCTCCAACGCAACAGCTGCGGCGCAGCGCTGTCGTGCAGACATGAAGATTGCCCCCATGCCCTGCAACCAAGTTGGCGAGCAAACGGAGCTGAGCCCAATCTGCACAGACATAAACAAAATAAATGACTTCAACGCAGTTCTGCTGAATTTAGAGAAGCAAGAGCAGGAAGAAAAGCAAAAAAAGCAAAAAAATCAGCGCGTGAGGAACGAAGGAACCAACTTCTTCACGGATGCAACCAGAAACTTACTCCTGCACATTTACGAAAATAATTACCACTTGAGCAGAATGAACGGAAAGGATTCTTTCCCACATGACGCTGATTATAAGGAGAAAAGATCTGATATTCTCGCCCCAACTGAAGGTCAGTTGTTTTCCTCCCCCTCTGGCTTAAATAAAGATAACACCTTTACTGAGAAGAATTATGATCCCTTCAGGAGCTACGGTTACAACCCCTTCGAACAAGGAGCTTTCAGCTTGTTCGGCAAGGAAGACAATGCCAGTGTAGGGACACGAGGAGAGGACGCCCGTTTTTTCACACATCAAGGGGGGCATCCCCAAAGTGGGGCTAACAATCCAGACAGGAAAGATGCAATCGGGATGAGTATCACTTCCAGCGATTTGCACGAAGCGGACCCCTCCAATGTCATCGATGGTCGAGACACGAGGAAAAACTCTACACAGAATAGGCCACCCCATTATGACCCCATTATTAAGGACCACCACAATTTGGATCAATTTCTCAGTTCAGAAGTGGCTAATAAAGTTCACCAAAATATGGAAGGCGAAATGGAAGAAATAAAGAATTCATTTCTGCGCTCCATCCAGAACAGCGAAAAAAAACTAGCTGCGTTGGATACACTGTATCTGTATGAGCAGTGGGAGGGAGCATCCCTTTTTTGCAGTAACCCCTCCACTGCGTATGGAAGCACCAAGGAGGCACAAACAAGTGTTAGTGACGAAATCGACACTCATCGGAATGGTACACCTAGAGGAATGCATTCTCTGGATGAACAACAAATGGGTGGCTTCCTCAACAGAGACAAGTTCTCCCCCTCAGACGAAGATTTAAAAAAATACTTTTGCAAAAATTTCCTACCGCATATATTTGATTATCAGCCGAGAAGCATGGTTCCTCCCGCAATGGGGGGGGTTCAAAGGCATGATTCGGGAGAGCCCTCCTATGGAAAAGTAGCCAAAGTGATGGGAGATGCACACATGGACGCGCGTCATGACATGCGGGTGGTGACGGCCAACAAGACGCATAATATGGCTGAGAGGAAGACACCAAATAGAGAAACCTTCACCGAAATGAAGTACCCTCCCAGGCAGGGAGCAACTGATGCAGCTCTGTATCTTACTCAAAGGATCCATGACAGTGGTTCTTTTCTGACCTCTAAATATTGGCAATCTGAGATGGATGAAATGGACAGGGGACCTTACAAGCACATCGATGGGAAGGATAACAGGGAGCTTTCCGGGGTGGAAGTCGAAGCAACCAACCAGCTGGATTACAGGAAGTACACGGTCGGGAGAGATCAACACAGTGGAGACCCACACGCTGCAAGTCTTTTTCCTCAAATAGATAGTGCATTAACATATATGAATAAAAAAAGAAATGATAATGTCACCGAGGAAAGAGCAAAAAAAGAAAGCGAACTGGATTTACTAACCTTTTATGGTTTTCAGGGAGGGGGAAGATCCCCTTATGTCCATAATGATGTCCAAAAGGAGGGAACCAGCACACACGTGCAAAATGGGCAAGATGACAGATTTTATCCCCAACTGAATAAGGCCTCGCACCATTTTAATCAACCATATGAAGATCTCATTCAATATGGTAAACGCTTCAGAGGGTGCGTAGCAGAAGAAGAAAATGGCGAAGGGGAGAAGCCCTTCAATACTCATGACGAGCCCATCAGTTTTACTGCCAATGCGGGGTTCCCACACAAGGGGGTGAGAAATCCAAACGCGCAAAGTGACGCAGCGCAGCAGGTAGCATTGACCGAGGGGATGAACCAGTGCAATGCCACTGCCAAGGAGTTTAGTGCCCCTTCTTCCAGTGTGACTAACTTCAATGCGAGACCTTTAAGCCGGCCAAGCAGAGACACCTCAGTGAGCAACCCAACTAACAATGCAGCTTCCCGCACGCAGGAGCAGATTCTCAATAACATTTTCGAAGATCCCTCCGATGATAAGAAGAGGTCCAGGACGTCCAAAGAGACTGCCGCTTTAAATCAGAAAAGACAATCCTTTATCGACGAAATTGGTGAAATTAAAAAATCGATCGAAAAGGAAAACAAAAATAATAGACAGCCCAATTTGACACACATGAGTCCTCCCTATTGACAGAGAATGGCACCTGCCATCCTTTTGCATGGCGAGAAGAGCAATTTTTCCAAAAGCGGGGTGCCAAAGAAGCACAGTTTTTACCTTCATAGTCGCAACAACGATGATAACGGTGCATACCCGGATTTCAAATCCATTCGGACGAATGACCCCCCGGGGGCGGGCGTCCATTCGGGGATCCCCGCTGAGAGGGACAACTTTGGGAGCGGCAACGTTTGGAGAGGCCAGGTTCAGAGAGGCCAGGTTCAGAGAGGCCACTTCCAGAACGGGTACTTTCAGAGCAGCCGCTTAGACAGCCGCTTGGAGAACCGCTTGAACAGCTTCTTGGACCGCTGCCAAGACCACTTCAGTCGCGCCCGACAGGAAAGGAAGAAATCCACGGATGGCGAACACGGCCAACCTTCTAGCTCGAACCTGCCGAAATGGCAGAGCAGAAGGTGACCAGTAAATGGTCCCCCCACCCTGTCACGTGTACCTGTCACGTCCACGTGGCATTTTATTATTTTGCTGGCAGCAATTTCTGACTTGTTCTTTCCGTTACGTCGACATGTTTTTTTTTCTTTTTCGTTTTCTTTTTTTTTTGCTCGCTTCCCCAGCATTCATAAAGAAAGCCCAAATTTACATACACGTATAACTTACGTAAAAAATGAGCCACCGATCAACACGCGATTCTTTTTTAAGTGACAATTAAATGTCTAAACAGTTGCACAAAAAAAAAAAAAAGAGGTGATCATATTGCAGCGATTTGTATGCTGAATTAGGTAAAAAAAAGTTGAAAAAAAATAAAATATCAATAAATGTAAGCAGCCAAATGGGTCTTTTTCACTTAAGCGAAAAATGGTCCACTGGAACGGGTAGAGGACAAGACGCACAGTTCGTGAGGAGCTTCTTGGCGCGACTCACAACATGCACATCGCTGCGCAACTAAAAGCAATTCGACGGAGCTACGAACCAAGGCGGTTCATGCTACACACTGCGAACACGTCAGAATTAAAAAAAAAATTGGGCCATCAAAAAAGGAGATGATAAAAATGAGAAAGGACATATCCAACCTGGCGGTGGTGGTGGAGGAAATTCCTCCCACAAGGGGCTGACAAAACACATGTGGGGTTTAATATTTTGAGTTAATTAAAAATGAAAAACGTGCAAGGAAGGCACACACACAAAAAAAAAGCAGTGAATACATGGATGGATGGATTAGCCGCCTGATCGATGAGCAACACGCCGCCTGTCAAGAGTGCCAAATCAGCGCACTGCTGGGTCGATTTCTGCCTGCTTTATCTGCTCCCTTATGTGGGTGCAAAGGATAGAAAGCTGAAGAAAGGGGGGGATGGGGTGACATAGAAAATGGGACGAGTGAAATCGAAATTGGAACGGCCTGGGAATGGATAGATCGAAAAGCAGAGCAGTACTCAACCGAGGAGGTATCGACCCTGGTTGAAGTCCTTCGCAGAGCCAAAGACGCCCGGTGTAGCAGAGTCCCATACCTCCTTCGTCTTCGAACTTTGGTACATGCGGTGCATCTCCGCAATGTTGTCCAGAAATTTTAGTATGGCTCTTTTGAACTCGTTCTTGTAGTAGACGCCCTCTGTGGAAGGGGAGGGGAGGCACCGTTTTGGCAAGCGGGAGCGCGATTGTTCAGATAGGAAGTGACACAATTGGATCACCGCTCATATAGGAAGCGACGCAATCGGATCACTACTGAGATAGGAAGTGGCGCAATTGGATGGCCGCTCAGCTAAGAGGCCTCGGGGTTTGTCCACCATGCCGATAAGCTTCCATTTGGAACGCTCAACACAGATGTACCTTTTTTCAGGACGAAGTGAATGAAGTTCAGGAGGCACTCGCAAAACTTAAAGTCATATGGGGGCGCGCAGAAGGCCAGCGTCTTGATGATGAACAGCCTGATGAGGGCCTTGTCCAGCAGGTGAACCTGACGAGGGGGGAAACAACGTACAGATGACGAAGACTCTAAAAATTGGTGCTCCGCTACGCTGCAAAACTGTTTCAGCACATGTAAACACAGCAGGACCAGTAGCATCCACTTATGCGCTCATACAAACTTATAAGCGCCAGCAGGCAGACGCTTACCATCGATTTGATGACGCCCACCACATAGCAAAACATATTTTCGAAGCGCAGGAAGTAGACGAAAAAGAGAACTAGGTTTTCCCGCAGCTCGACGAACTCCTCCAGGGATTCCTCCTTCTCAATTATATACGTGTACAGCTCCCTGGGGGGGGTGGAAATGGGAAAAATAGGGGGAAGACGGTACAAAGGGTTAACAGGCGGCAGAAAAGGGGCAGAAAGGCGACAGGAACGCGACAGGAATGCGGGAGAAAAGCACATCAAAACGATGCGAGTGGACATGCGCATGGGGGGTCCGCCAACGCAGCTGACACTTCCCGTCTGCCGCCTCCCCCAACCCTTGGCTTACTTCAAAAAGTGCAGCGCGAGGTGCCGCTTCTGCGGGTACTTGTCTACGATGTATTTCAGCAAAATGAACTTCGGGTATAGCAAATTAACGCGCGAATGATTGACATGCTCGTACACATTAATGTAGACATATCGATAAATGAGAGACGCTGCCAAGTTGCTATTCACTCGAGCGAGGAGAAGTTTGTCCTTAGTTGCGTCGGAGTAATTCCCATGAATGATTTGATATATCTGATATATTTCATTTTGGGTGTATTTCAAAAAAGTGTTGTACGTTAATCTAAATTTTTGAAATAGTCTGTAAAAATAATATTTTTTTTTTTTACTTGTTGGATTTATTTTCAATTTTTTTTTGCTCTTAACGTTTTTAAAAATGCTGCTTCTTATTTCATCGCACGACATCACTTCGGTTCTCAGTTCGAGCATATCATCTGCCGTGTTGCTGGCATTTGAGTTGTGCGTGTCGCGAGTTTGCGAAGGGAACGTTTCGCTTGCGGGATCCTCCTGCACTGGGTCAGCAGAAGATGCGGCATTTGCATCACCACCCTTTTGGACTGCCTCATTTGGGGGCGGTCTCTTCCGATGCTCCTCTGTTGGTTTCTCTACCGCCGCTGAGACAGTCACATTTTCCTGCTCAACCGGCGCTCCTTCCTTAGAAGCTTCAACAGGGCTGTCCACATCAGCGGGATTACAGTTCTCTTTCGTTACTTTGGAACATTGCTCCGTCTCAAAAGAGGATTGGTGTGTCTTCTCCGTCTCGAAAACGGACTGCCCCATCTGCCCCGTCTGCAAAACGAGTGGAGGCACTTCCCCTTTTTTGCGCTTCGCCAATTCGGCATTATCCACTTCTTGCCTCCTCTTCCACGCCTGCACTTCGCTGTCGCCCCCCGCGTAGCTCCTTCCCCTCTTTAGTATCGACTTTCTCCGTTCGGGTTCTTTCTTCACTTGGCAAAACTGCTGGTACGTCCTCTTGCCCGTGGGTTTCCCCGCTGCGCTGAGGCCTGGGGCGAGGTTTGGTTCCGATGGGGCGTTCGCCTCGAGTGCCCTGCGTCGGTCGTCACGCTGGTGGGGAAGGCGTGGAAGATGTGGAAGATGTGGAAGTTGCTGCTGTTTTTCCTGTTGTTCCTGTTTGCGCTGCTCGTGTGGCTGCCCCGCCTCCTCGTCGTCACTTTCCCCCGAGACGCCGTCCGACTCCCAAAGTGTATCGTCGTAAACGCTGAAGTACGCCGCGGAGTACTTCCTGGAGGAGCCCTCACCGCACCGCCTAAAGAACGAAGCGTAGTAGTGATTGTACACATATTCATACGGAGAGTAGGTAGTTAAAAAAATGAGGACCTTCCCATACAGTCTGTACATGTTGTTAGAAAAAAGCTCATTGTTGGAGACGTATATATTTATTGCATTGTTGAGGAAGACAATGTCTCTCATATGGATAAGAGGTATTTTCTCCGCATAGATATTGATCCGTAGAAACTCTTTGTTGTAATTAAAATCTTCGTTTCCATACTGAGACGCTGGTGGAAGGAGAAACTCGCTAGCTGTGCTTTTTGTCTTTCCTGTCTTCATCTCTACTTGGTTGTTTTCTGAGTTCACATTTGATACAAAATCTTCCGATTTGATGGAGCTATAAATTTCGTTGCTCAAATTTTTGCTGCTTCGATTGGACACATCCGTTTTGTTGTCATTCATTTCGGTAATTTCACCTTCGTCTCCGTCCATTCTTTCCTTCCCTCCAATGTTGAGGCTGCTTCCAAACAGGCTATTTTGATTTTCTCCAATGGGGTCTGCTCCCCTCAGAGCAGGAAGGCTATCTTCACTTGGGTTATCAACTTCCTCCCCTTTTGAAAAAAGGGACTCTTCTTTCTCGGATGGACTACCTGGAAGAGAAGACCTCACAGAGAAGGCATCATCTGCTTTTGTAGTGGGTACATCCCCACGCCTGCACACCTCCTCCAGGTTGCTCCTGTTGATGTTTGAGAAGTTCGAATTAAAATCTGCATCTTCTACTCGGTGGTGGAAGTGGAAAGATTGGTCTTCCCCATCCGCAGAGGAAATAAGTTGTCTCTTCAGATTGGTGTTCCCTTCATTTAGATTATCCCTCTCACGAGTTGCTTCTCCCCGGAGGCGGTTCCTCCCCCGATAAGAGGCAAACAAGTAAGTCGAATCGAACAGAAGCAATTTATTTCCATTGAAGATTTTCAAAACGTTCACTATCGCATCATACAGACTGACAATATCCGAGTGGTTTATCTCCATGCACCCCTTATTCCTAGCCATGTATATATTTCGAAAGGTGCTATAAAGAGTGCTATAGCTGTTTAAATTATTAATTCGGAAGGTTAAAAAAGTGATGCTGACTTCATTCTCTACTACCTTTGCGAAGTAATTGTTGCATATCTTGTGCAGATTGATGTCCTTATACAAAATGTAGAGAGACAAAAACTGAGATAGTCTCCTCATGCTACTATCGTTGTTGTTCCTATACATATACTCAAGGATCATCTGAGCATAGATATAAGAGTTTTCACTCACACATATATTTTTGCATATTCTGAACACAGCTTCTTCCTCTTCTGGTTCTTCCAAAAGGAGGAATTTTTGTATTTCTTCACTTACTCGAAGTGTGAAGACATTGAAGTTACTCGTGTAGGTGGCTATGTTGCTACTCTCCTCATCGTCGAAGTAGTATTTGTTCACATAATCTTCATACAGACAGGAGAGGAAGGGGTCTAGGTATCGGTCCTCATACAGCTTTAGTATCTCCTTCACTACATACTTGCTGCTCAGTATCTTCCAGTAGAAAGGGGGGGGCTTCCATGCGTACATGTCTCTGTACTCGTCCATAAACTTTAGCAGCTTGCTCGTTTCGTATTTGGTTGAGAGGAAGTCACACAGCGCTTTGTACAGGTGCCGCAGGGGGCTCTCCTCTCGGGGGGCCCCTCTTCGTTGTGAGGGCCTCTGCTGACACCGCTGCTGACGTCGTTCTAAGCGTCTCTGTAGGCGTCTTTCTAGGCGGCGCTTCTGGCGCTTCTCTTCACACCTTCTTCCCCGCTTGGCTGCACGTCCTTTGTCCCCCTCACTAGGGTCACACATTTGCTCACAATGAACAGGATGATCCTTCCCGGGGGAGATTTGCACCTGCTCGTGGAAGGGGCCATGCCGCTCTGTATGACTCGGCACCTCCTGCTTTCCTTCTACCCCTTCCTGCCCGTCCACCCCTCTCACACCATAACATTTGCGCCTCCGCTTTAAGTGAGCATTTCGCTTCGTTGGGGGAGACACCCCACTGCTCATTCTGACGCGCTTCTCCCTATCGAGGTGTTTCTCCCTCTTGGGATGCTTCTCACCCTCTTCTGCACAGACTCCGCTCGGGTGTTCCTCATCGGTGTATATCCACCGATAAGCATTATCAACAGGGTCGAGTACTATAACATCTTCCCCTTGGGCGTTTTCCCCATTTCCGCCATTTGACGAAAGGAAGAAATTGTTATAATAGCAAAAGAGGTAATTAATATATTTATTTTTCGCTTCTAACTTGTGAATGGCTTTTTTTCCTCCTCCATTTGGTTGTCCCCCCCGAGAAGTATGTAACTGGTGTGTCTTCTTCACTTGCGTAATTTTCTTCACCAACTTATACACTTTTTTTCTTGCGTTTATTTCCTTCTTTTCTTCCTCTTTTGCTTCCTCGCCTGCAGCCTCCATTGCTGGCTCCTTGGCTGCCTCCTTTTCTTCCTCTTTTTTACTTCTCCCCTGCTTGTTCATAAGATAGTCCAGGTCATTTAAGTATTCGGTTAGGGTTAGGCACAGCCAGGGGTAGCCAACGTAGTCCTCTATCAGTTTGTTAAGCAGCAGCCTGTTTATGTTTTTTACTATTATGAAATCCTCATCTTCAAATTCGTAGTTCATCGTCGTTTCACTTTTGCCGTGGGGGGCATTCCTCCAGGGGGTCACTCTCGCCGGCGCCGCGGCAGATGCGGCTGTTGCGTCTGTTGCGGCTTCTACTGCTGATATACCTTGTGCCGCCTGTCCTACTTGCGCCCTTTGGCTGCCTTTCGCCTTACCCGCCCTTTCGGCATTTTCGTAACTTTTGACAAACTCGAAGTTGTCATTCTTGACGCAGAAGAAGAGGTAGGAGCAGACCCTTTTTAGAATGGCAAATATGTCGTCGTCCAGAATTGCGTCCGTCTGTTTTAGGAAGTCGATTCCTTCTAGGAGTGTCAGGGGGTAAGGGTAGCAGTGGTGGATAGCGGTGAGGGTAAGGAACAAGTGAATGCCAAAGAGGCTACAAAATGGGGGAGGAGGATGCGCAGCGCGGATTACACTCCACATGCACTCAAGCACACCCTGGGCATGGTTCACAAAAGCGCGGACTGCGGAAGGCACGCTTCGCCGGCACATCGCTTAAAAGGACCGCCTCTCCACCCCTGCTATGACGAAGGTGTCAGACAGATCGCCAAGTGGTTACCTTTAAACTGCTCGAAGGAGCAGTTGCTTAGTCCTATGCAACTTTTCTTCTTCCTCTTCATTGTAACATCTTTTTGGTAGATAGCAGACGTTTTGGGGTGCAACTTGGGAGTGCACCCAAGTGAATGCTCAGTGTCCTCGGCGTTGTGCATCCACCTATGTTACAACAGTCCAAACAAGTTGTCTTTTCATCCCTAAGTAATAACAAAACGGTGAAATTGTATTCTTTCCCTACGCATGTACGTGCTGATGGTCAGGCTAATCCAAAGGGTTGCGGAGAAATCAGGTTGGTACCTTCATACATATGTGTGCGTACGCATGGGGATAGGCCATCACTGGACGTTTAAAAAGGAACACACTCCACGAACGAATGGCTACCAACGTGGCACACCTTTTTGCGAGAAATTAATTTGGCCGAAACTACGCTATGCATGCATTGGGATGACAATATACAAACACAGGGGGGATGGAGGGGGTATATCAAAATGGTGAGTAAATGTGTAGGGTTACAAACGAAAGGAGTTAATCACTTCTCTAGGATAATGGCGTCCGGCTGCTCCCCAAGTAGATCGTTTCACCACCTATCAGGTGACGCACGACCTACGGTGCTACAAAAACAGGGCAGAGAGGCACCCGGGTGGGGGAAACATCCAACCCGTTTTAATTCAGCAAACAAAACGAAACAAACTTGGAAAAAGAAGAAAATAGAAAATACAAAATAGAAGAAAAAAAAACGCGACAAAGGCCACTTGCCAAAATTGTTCAAGTGTAAAATTCACACCAAAAGGGGGCACAAAATATGAGAGAGCATTTTTAATTTTTCCCCTCCCCAGGAGCACCGCTCCCCGTATGCGCACAGATAGCACCCCTGCGCGGTTAGAACGTTTTCGCAGTTTGGCACTTCCCCAATGTCCGCGTGTGGCATACTCCGCCAATTGGCATATTCTCCAGGTGCACATTTAAAAAAAAAAAAAGGACGCCAAAATGTCCCCCAGGAAATACACCCCCAAAGCGGGAGGCAATTTTCCTTTTATCCAATTTGCAAATAAAATGGGAAATGGAAAATGTTACCAAAAAAATGCTAAAGGAAAAAAAAAAAAAAAGAGAAAGAAAGAAACAAAAAACGCCCGCTAATTTACCCCAATTGGGAGAAAACATTATTTGGCATTTTTTCCCACTCTGCACATCCATTCAGCATTTTTTTTTTTTTTTACAAAATTGGATGTGTACGCAGAGGGAAAACTGTTGAACGCAAAATCGCGAACGGGAAAATTATCACCCCTCCGTTTGGTTACCTTTTTTTTTTTTGCCTTTCTTCCACTTGGCAGCTGAGCCGCTTCGTCACATTGTCACTACGTCCTTGTGTTGTTTCGCAGCTTGGCTGCTTTGCCACTTTGCCGCTTTCCCGCTCTGCCATCTGTTTCTCCGCCTGTCCACTTCGACCGCAGAGAAATACCGCGGGCATGGTCCCATTTTGACCGATTGGTAACCTTCTGAATTTGTTGTGGCCACTCGAAATACTGTCACCACCTAAATTTCCTGTCGCGAAAAAGAGGAGGAAGGTGCATTTTCTCTGAGGGACGCAATCGGGCGAACATTTTTCCCCTCCGATTTTGTCCCTCTTCCTTTATTTTCAAGTGACGCATACCTGTGGCCAAACGGGCAGTTGTGCCCCCTCTCATAAAACTGTTTCACTTTAGATTAAAACGCGCATGTGCGCACACTTTTCTATGGATGCATTATGTTCATATCCCTTTTTGTATGCGGCCATATGTACACACCTTTTTAAAGCGTAATGGCAATGATGTTTTGTTTCCCCTTTTAATCTGTCAATTTTTTTTTTCTTCTTTTTTGCGTATGGAAGAAGGAGCACGTTTTTTTTTCGATTGTTTGTTCCAATTTTGCAAACCGTGAAAAGGCTTCACCCTATCTGCAGAGTGAATCACCCAGGTGTAAGCAACCCACCATAGGCACTTCCCAGCCTTGCGTTGTTCACTTGTGCCATCAGGTAGTTCGTTTTGCATCCACGAGGAGGATTCTTTCCACCCTGCCTGTGCCTACCTTTTGAAGGGGAAACTGCACGAAGGGTTGGAGAAAAATTGGCATGGGTCGAAGACTACATCGAAGACCGCTTTGCTAACCGTTTTTCTAACCGCATTGCTGACCACACTGTTGACCCCTTTTCTGACCACCTCAGCTACACCCTGCTGGGCGTCTCACTTTACGAAGCAGCACCCCACTGAGCACAAAACAAATGGGCACCACAAAGAATTTGAAGGAGGTGCACAGTGCAAGCGGAGTAGGCTACATAAATAAGTACGATGTGGACAAGTATGACAGTGTTCCCAATCTGGAAAGAAGCAAAAGGGAGTACCTCCCAAGTAGCAACCCAAACATGGAGGTTTTCCATTCGCTGAACTTTCAAAATGATATTTACATGGATCCAGGGGAGGGGGACGTGGTCGGTGGACTACACATGATGAAGGGGAGAATGGGTCTGTATTCCGGCGCGGGGTTGGACATTCCTATCGGCGAACCACTCGTCATGAATAACCGCATTGGTAGTGGCATTGATAGCCGCATCGATAGCCGCACTGATAGCGGCAACGTGGACCCGCCGCACACGGTAGACGCCCTCTTCAGTGCCAACAAATATAAAGTTAAAAAAATCCAAGAGGCGCACAGCATCAGCGCGGACTATAAGCAGAAGAAAAACCTAACCAGCATCCTTCCCTTTGAGAAAATTATGGAAGAATACGAAATTCGGAGTTTATATTCCCAAAGCAAAGTGCAAGAATTGTATAACCATCAGAATGTGTATGAGGAGAAGGGCAGATACAATTTGATGCCTCTAAAGGGGCATGTTACTAACGGAACAATGAGAAAGGACCTCAGCGTGGACTCATCAGATGGGTCTTCTCCGTATCTGTCGAAAGGTAGCACTCTAATGTATGGTGGACAGTACACGTATGGGACGAGTGTCGACTCGAGTAGCTTTAGTGGCGCGAACAGGGCCGAGGAGAGGCACCTCTCGGCGGTCAACTGCGAGCAGGCCGGTCAAATGGGCCACGCAGCAAGCGGTATCGATCCCATCCCCAACAGGGTGAACGAGGGCTCACCCCTCCAAATGCAGCCCAGCGAGCAGGTCCAAATAAACGCAGGAGGGACGGGCCACCCAGGAGAGGAGACCATTCCAACGGAAGTTCAAAATATCAAAGCAAAGAGAAAAGAAACGGAAAATCAGACGGAAAAGCAGACGGAAAAGCAGACGGAAAAGGAAAAAGCGGGGGTACCCCCTGACAACGACGGGGAACAGAACGAAGAGTGCACTCAAAACAATCTACTCGAAATGTACGACCCTAAACAAAATAAAAAAGTTATCTACTATGCAGTGAAGAACCATTACGACCCCACCAAGGAAATGCACAAAAAGGAAAGGGAAAAGGGGAAGGGCAACTACCCACCCGATCGAAACGAAGTGTACCAAAATGACATATACGACTATTTGTTGCATCACTACGAAAAAAATTACAAACACATTTTTGACAGCAGATATATGGACCAGTCAGTTTTTAAGGGAGAGCCGAAAGGGTTATTAGCTAGCCAGGCAAATCCACATAGGAGCTCAGCTGATGGCAACAAAGGTAGAGACACCAATGGGACATACATCGCAGGAGGGATACTCAACACAAACAATTATGATAACGATGGTGATGTGGATAATTCGAAAAGGAAAAATGGAAATGCCATTCCTCGTGGCAATGAAGGGGGAAATCAAAGCAACCTCGCAGAGGTGGTAATATCGGATAAAGTTAAGGGAACGCATTTGTGTCGTAAGAACAGCAACAGTGTCGATGTGAACATCGCCAACAACGCGAACGGCGTGAACAACGTGGAGGAGGTGACTCCTCTAAATGGAAGAGAAGACAACACATATCAGACCAACGTCGAGATTTCCAACCTATGTGATGAGGACGCAATGGATTTATATAAAAATATCGGAGAGGTGTACACTCCGAGGCCCAACTTGTTTGTGTATGCTATGAAGGATGGCGCGGAGGGGGAAAGGCGGCCCATGGAGGGAAGTCCCATCGATGAGGTTCTACCTAGACTGAACAGCCCTCTCGGCGATCTACCCCTCCAAATAAATAAAGAAATGAAGAAAATTTTCAAACAAATGAAGCATAAAAACACAGTCGTGATAAGCAACGTTGGCGTGAAGACAGGATCATCCACTTTCTCCAATCACATCCTAAACAGCGTCCAGGAGCGAGGCTTCTTCGGAGGAGGAACGCCCGACCAGAGGAACTGCGTCTACGCCCACATGATGGCTAGCCCGAACAAAATCAACTACGTTTATTTGGACTACGATAAGTTGGTACTCCGGGGGGGAAGAAGCAAAGGCGGCGATCGAGACAAACGGGACGGTAGACATAAAAGCAGCGATAGACATAAAAGCAGCGATAGACATAAAAGCGGCGATAGACATAAAAGCGGCGATAGACATAAAAGCCGTGATAGACATAAAAGCCGTGATAGGCACACACGCGATGGTAGAATCAAACGGAATGATAAACTGAAGCGGGATGATCGAATCAAACGCGTCGGGCGAAGCAGCTGTTGGGACGGGGACCCCCTCAGCGAAGTAAACACACTCGTCGCACTTTCCTTTTATCTTTCAAACATCGTCATCTTTCACATCAACAGCGGGAGCAGCGAGAGCTGTTCGAAGGCGTTCGGCCTGTTGGCACACTACTACGACGTGGTGCGACAGATTCGAGAGCACGTGAAGCGGAGAAGGGAGAAGTGCGCGAAGCGGGAGAGGGGAAAGGACGTGGGGAGGGAGAGCAAAGGTGAAAGCAATGGTGATAGAAGAAATGGAAGCAATGGTTATAGCAGCGGAAATACTGAGGACCGAAATAGTCTGGGCCAAAGCGGCGGTCACCCTCGGGAGAACACCCCTCAGTCGGACAGCGAAGAGCAGTCCGAGGAAGACTCCAGTGGGGGCAACTTCGAGGGAGACAACTTCACCGTCCCACATTTCGTGTTCGTGCTGCGGGATACCACTCTGGGGAGGGAATGCCCGGCGGACATGCGCGAAGAAGAGGGGCCTAGCAAATTGATCCAAAGGAACTCCGTCACCAGACAAGCGGAGTCGAAGAAGGTGACCCCTAAGATAGCACGAAGTACCCCCCTTAAGCTTCCCCATACGAACGAGGACCAAAGCGGGCGCGCACAGCAGCTTCTGGAGGAGTTAATCGAAGGAGTACAAAATGCAGTGGTTCAGAAAAAGGTAAAGTATCTGTTAAAGTTCCTGCCGAAGAAAAGTCTGTTCCATTTGCCTCCCCCGAAAGAAAAAAACAAAGAAGACTACGCAACACAACTGAGGAAAATCAAAAAGGAGATCTTCATCAATGGAAAAAATGTCGAAAATATGTATGCCAATAATGGAATATATGTCTATAAGTATCTAAACATGGTAACCTACACAATCAACAGGGGAATGTTTTACCCTCCTAATTATTTGAAAAAAAAAATGGAAAATTATGAATGCAAAACATTGCATAAAGTCTTAACGGATAACTTCCTCTTCCATGTTAGAAGAAAAATAGAAAATAAACTTCCCATGAAACCTAACCTATTCTTAACCCTAATAAATGATATCAAGATTGAATTTCTCCTTAGCTTTGAGACACTATGTATTGGAAATTCCAACTTAAAGAGGAAGTACAAAAACCAGCTCTGCCACAACATCGATGTGATTTTATTGAAAGCTTATAAAGAAAATATCGCCTTCAGCTGCTTCACTTTCTTCAATATCATCGAGAAAAAAATTAGCAAACTACAGATCTATAGTAAAATAAGTAGACGGCAGTATGAACATTTTGATCAGCTCAGAAATGACATTGAGAGTATAAACGATGGATCGATTGATAATCTCATATACAATGAGATTCTTGGCATAAAGAAGGAGGAGATTTTTACCTACTTCATTAAGACTTATTATAGCGGATTCGGTTCAAGGAGGAGCTCCTCTTCTATTCCGATCAAGAAGCAAACCGAAGTGGAAAAGCAGCATCAGTATCATGCTCATACTGGAGCACACACTAAAGCGACGAAAAAGAACAGCTACAATTCCGATTCGACCGTCGACCCAGGCCAGTTTGCAGACCCATTTAGCCAACAAAGAAGTCGACGAAGCATCAGCGGGGTGCGTATCTCAAGGCTGCATACCAGTGCATCCTCCATATTGCTGCGCCGAGGAAGCCGCCACCACAGTGAGAAGGAACCCTCCAGGGGAGGCAGCGACTCCTCCAGTGGTGATAACTCCCCCAATTACGGCGTAGCAAAGGAGTTAAAGGGGAATAAATACAAATCGGCTGAACACTCTCTTAGGGGAAAGGATTCCTCGCACGAAAGCTCGGACGGGAGTCACCACCAGAAAGGAGGTTCGAAGGACGCCACCGATGGTACACGGAGGAAGCACTACACGGATGAAGAAGACAAGGGGAAAACCCCCTCCAGGAAGCCTCTCCACAAATTCAAGTCCGACGTAGGATTGCAAAACGAGCGAAAGGTAAAAATCATCCAAGAGATGCAACGACAAGACGGTAACATCTCAAAGAAGTATCACAGTGTTGATTATATGAATGAACCTCCGGGGCGCTTTCACCAAAATGAGAGCAGCGAATCCAATTCGGATGAGCCATCCTACCACGGAGGGGTAACTCTTCAGCCAGAGTTGTCACCCCAACAGGAGGCGGCTCCCAAACATCCCGAACACGCCGGGGTGCAGACCTGGCCAACCCTAACCGACCGAGTTAATAAGCAGGAAAAGAAACGCGAAAAAAACATAAGCTTCATTGAGGAGAAAGTGCTCGGCCCGAGTAGAAAAGAGCCACAGTCCGAAATGAACAAATGCGACAACGAAAAGGACTACTCACACGACAGCGAGAGTAACATCCCCTTCGTTAGGAAAAAAACCTCCACCGCATTTCTGCACGGCCAGGAGAAAATACATTTCATCGAGGGGGCGCCACTCGATCGCCTCTGAGGGAAAAAAGAAGAGCTCCTGTTTGCCTTTTTTTTTCAAGCTTCCGCTTTGCACTCACCCCGGTGCGGAGCGCCATAACTCACGTGGACAATTTTCGACACGCATGAGTAATCCTCTTTTTTTTTGCCCTCCGCGGTTTGTCCTGCGCGCCCGAACCAAGGTAGCACGAATCGGACGCATCACAATACAAACGGCTTTTATTTTTTTTTTTTGTCTACTTTAAAATATTTAATGGTTCGGATCATCGTGGGGTTGAAGCAGTGCACCGAAATTGGCCCCGTACGGGTTATGTGAACGGAGTTGAAAAAGGACCCTTCGCTGGAAGGAAAATTCCTCATGCGGATGGGCAGCCATGGAGGAGGCAAGCAAACATCAGAGCGAGCCGTGCTTCCGACTCCACTCGTCGTAGTCGAAGACGCACTTGTAGGACGTGTTCACCTGGGACATAGCCTTGATAAAGTCGTCGTATCGGATGGCCCTGAAGATGGACGTGTTTGGAATATTCTCAATTCCGTTGTACTGTTCCACAGCATCATCATAAACATATTCGTAACACTTGGTACAGAGGTGGTAGATGTCGCTTCCATTCCAGTTATGCAACTTATGCGAAATGGAGTCCAGCTCATTTTCACTCATTTGGAAGCCAGAGTGGGTGTGCTTCGTGATGATGTAACGTATTTGCTCTTTCCTTGCATCTAAATCTGGCAGGGGGATATAGACTCTCTTATTGAATCTCCTCAGCGCAGCATCATCGATCATGTCAGGTCGATTGGTCGCGCCGATAATCACAATGACAACATCCTTCTTAGTGTTAATCCCATCAATCATTTGTAGCAGTTGATTTTTAATCCGTATAGTAGTATCGTCTTCGTCATTTTTACGCATACCTAGGATGGAGTCTATTTCGTCGAAAAAGAGGATAGAGGGATTGTCCTCCTCTGCACATTTGAACAGACAAGTTACGATCTTTTCCGTCTCTCCAATGTATTTGCTAAACAGGGATGACGTGCTTACATTGTAGAAAGAGCATTTACAATGAGAGGCCACCCACTTGGCAATCATCGTTTTGCCTGTGCCTGGGGGGCCAAAAAGTAGTATCCCTTTTGCAGCTCTATTCAGCCCTGTAAATAAATCTGGTCTCAAAATGACATTCACAATTTTGTCTTTTATAATCTTCTTAATGTCATAGAGCCCGATGATGTCCGATTCTTTTACGTGTTCGTTGGAACTCATTTTCATACTTAGGGCGTAGCGTAAAATGTTGACTTCTAATCCTTGGTCAATCAAGTGTTGATATTTGTCTGGAATGTCTTCACATCCTTCTTTCGAATCATCCATATTTTTTTTATGACTCCTCCTTCTTTCATCCCTTCTATCATTTGTCCGGTCTACTCGACTTCCTACTCGGTAATCGTTTGTCGACGACTCTTCATTACTATGGCTTTCTGCACTCTTCGTGATGTTTCTATTTCGTCTTTTTCTTAAATTGATATCGTTGAATGCTTTAATGGCTTCTTCATTCTTTTCGTTTTTTCGTTTTATCAGTATGTCGAATGCGTTGGAGAAGGCCTCCTTCTGTTTTGTTTTTATGGAGGAATAGGACTCCTCTGTTTTCTTCTCCCTGTTGGTGGTAGCCATGCCGCTTTTCTTCCCCTTTCGCGTGGTTCTCCTCACCGATGAGGCGGAGCTGTCGCCACTGTTGCCATCAGAGCTGTCAGACACGTGGGTTCTCCTCTTATGCTTAATTTTCCTCACCGAACGGGTGGAGCTTTCCTGGCTGGTATCCCCTGTGGAGTCGTTTCGTAAACGGCTTTGGTTGCCGCTTCGGTTTTGATGACCACTTTGGCTACCTCCCTGGTTTTTAATTTTCCGTTTCTCTTTCTCCCCCTCTTCCCTTTTCCTCTTCAGCGCCTTGGGGGTGTAAATATCGTCGTCGCTGAAGTCGTCGCTCGCCCGGGCGTCCTTCTCCTTCGAGAGCTTCCTCTGTTCTGCTCCCTCCACAGGGCAGGTCTCTCTGTCGGGTTTTTCTTCTTCTTTTTCTTCTTCCTTTTTCTTCTCCTCTACCGTGGCTTCCCCTGTAGTGTATCCCCCATGCGTTGCGCCCCTCTCGTGGTACACCTTAACAAACACTGGGTCGAAGTTCATGAAGTCCTTTATGTCCACCGCCTCCACTCCGCTAACGAAGTTGGGATTCCCCTCAAGTTTACTCCCCACATTGTCCACTACATCTGTCTTCCTGAGCAACTCTATGACCTCGTTATACGTCTCATGGTCTGAATAACTCTCAAAAATGTTACTGTGTGTATTTGTAAAGATGAAGTCATTTGGGTTGACTTCTCCTCTGTTGCGTGCATCATCTTGACTTGATTCTGCATCCCCACATATATCGTTTAACATCATATGCTGCAGGCACTTCCTCTCCTCCTCGCGCATTTCATTGTAGAGGATTTCTTCCCAGATGGCTCCTCTTAAATTTTTCATGGTGCCTCAGCGGGATGCTCTACCAGGTGTATGGATATATTTGGGGTTTTGTGTGCGACGCTATGGGGAGACTCCAAATCGGTAGGCATAAAAGCAAGAGTGTCCCCCCCCAAAGTGATCCTCTCCCCAGAGTGCCTCCTTAGCGTGACTCCTCCCGACGTCGCTTCTTCTGTTGGGAGTTACTCTGCAGGAGTTATCCTCGTCTACTTCGCTGCCTCGGCAGGCGCATATTTTATTGACTCCCCACCCGAGACTTCAGCGCAAATGGCGTTGCTCTTGCAACGGCAGCAAAATGGAGAAGCAATGCTGCCAGCCAGTTGGTGTGTATTAGAGGAGCTTCTCCTTCGGGGTGGCATCACACGAGAATGTTTTATTTTGTTTTATCCTCCTTTATTTTGTTTTATTTTTTCTACTTTTTATGACCACTACTGTGCGAGAATTTTCACCATTGCGAATCCACACAATGCCATCGAACCTTTGCAGTCTTAAGAAGTTTTACCAACACAAAATTGGGGAAATGAAAAGGGGTAAAATTACGAGAAAAATCAGAAGTTTGGGATTAAAACAAAAAAAGAAGAGACTTGGGATTACAAAAAAAACGGAAAAAGGTACAGGCCAGGGAAATAATATTATTGACAAATGGCAGCAAAATGCGTAGCGCCGCGAAGAAGAACAAATCGGGCGCTCTCAAACGTGCAGCAAAATGCGCATAACGATGCTGAAAATAGAGTAGCCAAATGGGATGATAAAAAAAAAAACAAAAAAGAACAAAAAAAAAGGGGGTGGGCGCCGTGACCAGACAAGCGGTTAAGCCAGGCACGGTAAATCAAACCTTTCTTGGGGCGGGAAAAAAAAAAAAAAAGGAAAACTCACATGTGCATACATATGAGTATTTTTTCATGTGCGCACTAACATCTACCAAGAGTGACAATAGCCTCTAGAAAATGTAGATGTACATGCTGTCGAATTCGCGCACGTAAGTGTACACCTTGTTCACCACGACGTACTCTTTCTCCAGGTCATCAAAATCAGATTCTTCATCCTTCGTCATGCGAACGATATTGTTATTTAAAATGTTAGGGAAGTATTTTGAATTCAGGAGGGTCCTATTCAACACGCTGTTATGCCTGTAATGGAGTCCCCTAGTCATGCTCATACTATTTGCCCTGAAAAATTGGCCCGTTTCCGATAGAACAGCGTTATCATAAAATTTGCTGAAAACACCAATAGGTCTATCAAAGTAACTCATTAATTTGTTCTTCGTGTACAGATTGGATCTGCTTTCCACCGTGGCAGCATATTCCTTGGGAGCCTGTCCGTTGTAGTTTTTTATTACATTGACCAGGGTGTATTTCTTCGTGTACTTCTTCAATTCGTTCTCTTCATCCTTTCGAAAAATAAAAAGCAGGGGGCTGAATTTTTTCTTCAGGATTTCGAAATTTTCATACTCCTTCATCTTTCTTCGTGTACACAGAGGAAGAGGGGAAAGGTTTGGTTTCTTCTCCGGAGGTTTCAGATGGCGCGCTGCAGCTAAGGTTCCCGCTACGGCTACTGTCGCGGTTGCTATGTATTGGAGGCTTCTTTTAAAGCGGGGATCATAAAAGGAGAAAACACCATCTCACGCATGCCTGCGAGAGGTACTTCACAGAAAGGCTAATTACCTAGGAGTGAAGAAAAAAAACCTACTGCCTTGGTGAGGCGAAGTTCATACGGACAAAAATTCTAAAATGGGCAAACATCTACGTATAGGTGGCAGGCATGTACGTGACATGTGGCTACGGAGCGGAAAGCTTAAAAAGGAAGGGTTCAATTTAAGGCGAAATCTTACGACTGCTTAAAAAACAAAATAAAAATCGACGTCAAAATGGAAGTTAAATTCAAAAACTTAAATCAAACGTTTAAGGGAAGCAAAATAAAAACAAGTTGCGATCACAGCATGTATATGTTACGCAAGCACATATGTGCTAATCGCCGTGCTAGTATTCGTCACCACGGAAAGAAGTTGGCCTCCAATTTTTTTTTTTTTTCGCAACAGGGGTTGGTTAGCAGGTGCAGGCAGATATAAAAATGGAAAAGGGTAACAACGCTGCCCTCTACATCAGGAATGTCACGCGTGATGGTTTCTCATGTGTGCTTAAGAAAATTCTTTCGCGTTTTCCTCTTGTAACTTCCTCGAGGGAATCCGTTTTTATGCTTTACCCAGTTGTCATTTTAAGAGAGGAACCATTTGATGGGGCCTTCAAACGGGTAACTCCTTGCTGCATTTTTTTTTTTTTATTAAATTTCGCAAAAAAAAAAAAAAGTTGTAAAAACCTGGCTTCTATTACTCTTTAAAAAAAATAAAATAAACTGTCGATCTGCAACTGTCGAGAGAGAACAATAAACCTAGTGTGCCAAAATTGCATTTACGAAAAAAAGGAAGCTGTATATACACGCACATAGGCAGACAGTTGGCTAGATTTTTCGGCCTTCGATTTATTTAAAAAAAATGGAAGCGGACTGATGCGCAGTGTCGGATTGCAACCTTCCGACCAATCTGACTATGCTTACATTTTTCTTTTTTTTTTTAAACTTGTAAAAAAAGAAAATAATTAGAAAATGGGACTAACTCAAACCTATTTTGTTTGATCTTGGGCCACACATGGGAAAGCGCATTTCTCTTGTAAACCTCAGTGTGGAAGCGGTAGAAGAGCGGAGGAGCAACGCGTACAGGAATGGCACACTTTGCTTCCTGTACACTTAGTTTCTTCCCATTTTTGTGTGTAAATTTGTCCCACTCGTTTTTACCTAACCCGTTCAGGTAAAAAAATAGGTCGCTCAGTGATGCTCTTAACCGTTGTAGAGGGAAGGAATGGCCAAGCTTAAGGTACACCAGGTATAAGCGCAACACAATTGAATTGGAGCAACCTCCCATAGGGATAAATGCACATGCACAGGGTGAAAACGGTTAAAAAAAAAAAACAGTTTTTTCTTTTTTTTTTTGCGTACCCCCCTAAGGAGTTACGCCTTTTTCTTTCTGATTTATCTCATGAGAGATAGTTGATGCTATTCTCTTTTACCACTGCGTGTGTGCTCCGTGGTGAAATTGGGCCACGTGCGTGCCGAGTATTGAAGAGTGAGAAGATTTCTTCTTCAGCAGCAGTGGATGGCCGGTCATCCTTCTCGATGAGGAAGGCTACAAACGTGGCTTCCCACCTTTTTCCACTCCTTACCGCTTTTGCTTTATGCCATGGAAAATTATGAGTACTGTACGGGTTACACCTTTGCGTACAGGTTGTGGTAGGTATCCCAGCTGAGGGGGTCTCACCCTCTATGATAAACAACGTCGCATGGGCGGCACCTTGTTACGAAGCACATGTTTATACACTTCCCCTCTTTGTGGAGAATCAAAAACAAAGTATGGGCCGTGTTAAGGTAACTGGTGCATAAGCGAGATGCTACTTCAAACTGGGGTGCCAGCAATCTGTTTAGCTATATCTCTTTCCTGTCGAGAGACTATTCTCCATTAATGTCAAATGGGAAACAAAATTAAGGGTACATGGAAACTGGGCTGAAATTGTGAAGCCTACGAACCCCGTGCTAGCGCCTCGAACTAAAAGAAAGTTCACCCTGTTGAGGTTCACGCCCCATGGGGTTAAGCTCCTTCCCTTTTTCGTTCATCATTCGGGTTCACTCCTTTCGTTTCGCCGTTGATACCAACATGGGATGTATAATATAAACTCCTCCAGTTGAATATTTTTGAGCGTCATTTGTGGGGAAAGGCCAGGAGGGTATATAAAAAAAAAAACAACGATTACAGTGATTAATCACAATTTTTCGCAAAAATGAAATAAAAATGGTGCATGAATGTTTGTCCTTCCAGTGAGGACGCTTGCTGAGAGAAAAAGGCGCGCCATCGCGGGGTGATAGGGTTGTTTCGATTTTTTTTTTTTAGCCTTGAAGGGGCGTTTTCTGGCCTCATTTCGTGAAAACATCAATTCAGCGCGTTTTTTCTCCAAGTGGTTTTATTTTTTACCACCATTTTGCTTCCATTTTTTGCTGCATTTTTTTGCCCACCTCTTTTTATACCCTTTACCGTTCACTTCTCTTTTTTTGGTCCCCTAAGGACAAAACAAATAAGGAGAGCCTTCCCACAGTTTGCCTCCATACCTGTGGTCCCCCGCTCTGTTTGGCATGCCAGGGGGATCAGCAAAGTAAGATAACCCAACTGTTGTTCGTTCCGCCATGACTGTGATGTGAAGCCAAATAGGAACTGCTATAACGTACAGTTTGCTTCCCTGTGAGTGTCCCCCATTTGGGCTACCCCCATCGGAGCTACCCCCTCCCGGCTGTCACAACCATGTCCATGTTCAAAGGGATGCTGATAAAGTCTTCCGAGCGAAGCGCCAAGGGGAAGAATCCCAATGCGGGTAAGGGTAGCGCTGCGCAAGAGGCGCAATTGACGAGGGGAAGCAGCACGCTGAGCTTGAAGAGGGGGGACGCGTACCTGGATTTGGAGGACCTGGCGCCCAGCTACTGCAGCAGCGTGGCGACTACTGATAAAGGCGGGAATCATCTCCGAGGAGACGAAGCGGTTACATTACCCCTGCACGGGGATAAGGACGAAGAGGGGAGTTTCCAACGTTCAAGCGGTTTTTACAAAATTGGACAATGTGGAAATGCCCCCCCGTGTGGGAGCTACGAACGAGTAATTAACAGCAACGAGTCACTGAACGGAGCGAAACGCAGCAGCTGTAGTCACCCGAACTGGAGTAACTCCCGAAATGAATACTCAAGTGAACCATATGAAGGGTATCTGGAATGCTCCGAAAGGGAAGTAACAAAGCGAAGCGATGGTGCCTTATCCCCAGATGAGGGAAAGCGTCACATAGAGAACTCTCCTCAGCAGAGATTAAACCCGTTGAATGACCTCTTAACCCACATGCGCGATTTTTTCATGATGAATACAAAGCAATGGAATAAGAATAAGGTGAAGAAAATTTTGGACGAACTGGCCCAAAATAAAATCCACCAAAATGTGCTAGTTGTTATGTATTATTTTACATACGAGGCGTATGCAAATAGAGTCCTCCTAAACTTGAAGGAAGAATACAACTGCGATTTGTTGATTCACAAATTTCTGGGTAAAGTCCATAAGATAAGGAAAAAAAGAAAGAAATGTAAAGAGGAGGAAAAAGTCCTCATAATAAATGAAAAGCTAGACGCAGCCCACGAAATGCAAAAGGAAATATTCACATACAATTTGGAGTTAACGAGCATCGAAAATTACATTACCGATTTATTTAGGAAAAAAAAACAAATACACTGTTGTAACGTCTTTTTGAAGAGCTACGTGAAAAATGTTCTTCGATTGATTATTCGTAACATATGCACAAATAGAAAAGAAGAAAAAAAAAAAAAAAGAAAATTTTTTGAAGAAAAAAAAAATGAACTGTGCATATGGAAGAGGAAGATCACACAAAAGGAGGAGAACATAAAAGCTGAGGAGGAAAACATAAAAGAGAAAGAACGTAATGTAGAAGAATCCAAAGAGGAGCTAAACAAATCTGTGCAAGTCATATCCTCCACATACGAAAAGCAGTTACACAAAATTAACGAAGAAATTGACACCCTTGATCGAAACATAAAAGAGCTTGAAGAAATTATTACCATTAAAAAATCGCAAAAGGAAGACGCCATAAGGAACAAAAAAAAATTAGAGAAAGAGAGAGAAACGGACATGAAGACGCTCCTACAGAAGCAGTCAGATTTAAATACCTCCATCAATTTTATCAAAAACACCACCTCCCTTATGGAAGAAAAGAAAAAATTCGTAGCGGATGAAAAGGAAAAAAGGAAAGAAGCCATAGCCCATTTGAAGGAAGCTTACCAAAGCTCCTGTCAGAAGAAGTCCCAAACAAACCGATTACTTTGCGATCTAAAAAATGTCGTTCGAAATTTGTACAGCTCGGATGAGGAGGGCAAACACGTGTGTGAAGATAATCCAACGAGGAAATCCTTCGTGGGAAATCATTTCGAAACGACAGATGGAAAGGACACTTCCCCCGCGCGTGACGAACATACACACATCACTAATGCTACATCGACGAAAGGACAGGAAGAACCGAGCCACCATTTGGATGCCTCCAATTTGCTGAAAAAAATATTCCTGTTAAAAAAAAACATTTTCGACGTGGAAAAAAATATGAATAGCATTAAGGGAAAAAAAAAACAACTCACCATCGACATCAGCCAGTTCAATTGCGAAATGGATAATATAAACATTAAGAAGGAGAACCTGAAGAACAAAAAGAAAATCCTTCTGAAGAATAAAATGCTAAGTGAAATTAAGAACACGATTAACGAGTTGGAGAAATTGGACCAAACGGAAGACGTCATTTTGAAGCAGCTGGAAGGGGCAAAGGGGGACATGAACCTGTTAAGGAAGGACCACCTTCGGATGAAGGAACAGAAAGAAGAATTGAAGCGCAGATTATTTCGCCAAGAAAGGAAGTTGCTCAGGTGGGAAATACGCCACGTTCAGGCGGGCCTCAATCGTGACAAAGGGGCAGACAGTGTGGTGACTCCCCCCCTTGCTGAGGACGTGGCAAGTGTGCCGGTAGCCATGGTCTACCGTGAGGGGGACGACGTGGTTAACCGTAAGGAGGACGAAGCGGATAAGGGTGAGACGGGTGACGTTGTTAACGGCGAGGGGGACGACGTGATAGCCCCCCCCGTCGAAGAATCCAACCAAGAGGAAGCCTTCCCATTTTCCGAGGAATCGGAGCAGTCAGAAGAGGGCGAATCAAGTGCCGCCTTTAGTCAGATGATGCACCAGTTGGAGAGAATAAGCGCGCACGGCGAAGATGAGGAGGACAATCATATGTGGAGTGACGAAGGGGGGAGTGACCAAGAGGAAGAACACACCTCGCAGAATGATGAGGAATGGGAAGACCGAGGAGGAGGCAGCGGAACGGGTGCAAGCGGCGGCGCTCGCGGAGCGGAGACTCCCCTCCTAAGTGATGAAGAGAAAAGTAGTCCATCGGAGGAAAACTCCGACAGTAGTGACAACCATGGCGACGGAGCGGAAGTCGTTGCAGATGTTGTGCCCAATGGAGAGGAAGAAAACACAAGAGATTCCTTCCCACGCATTAGTACACACAGAAAAGATCCACTGAACCGACTGGAAAAGTTAAAACTGGAGGAGAGTCGCACCTTCGAAAGGATGCTAGACAAGTACAAAGCCATCTGCAATTTAAGTGAAACGGTAGACCACCATGTGTTGGAAAAAGAAGTTCGACATATTTATAGGGACATAACGAGGGAGAAAAACATTTTTAAAAAGAAAAAATTGCTCACCTTAAGGAACAGAAAAAGAGTACTAAAGAGGTACTACCACTATGTGTCGGACAATAGTGAGGAGGAGGATCTGAATGGATAAGTGGTTTGGTGGACCCAGACCACAGGGATGCCTGGATGTGTCACCAGGTGGTCACGTGTTTTGTGCCGACAGGAGATGACTGCCGACAGGGGGAGAAGTTTGTGTGTGGGGGGAGGGTTATCCATTAGTAGAATTCCTCTTCTGTTTATTCCACAGTTTAATAAAGTGAACCGGTGCGGGATGGGCGAAGGTGTATGTACGCCTCTCTCCTTGGAAGCAATCCCGTTGAGGTTTTTCTACAAGGCAAGCAATTGGCGACGTTTGCGCATATCCTGCAATACGTCCATCTCTTTACCCTTGGTTCATTCATTCCTTTTTTTTTTTTTCTTTTTTTTTTTTTTGTCTCTCTCTCCGCTTAACCGATTCACCGTTATGCCGATGTGCCCATTCATCTATGCCTTTGTTTGTTTGTTTGTCCGTCTGTTTGATTGTCTGTTTGATTGCTTCTTTACATCTTTGATGGTTAATTATTTTATTTTTTTTTTTCGCGCACGTGATGACTTCACCCCTATGTGCAAAATTGACGAGTCATTCCATTCGCACTGTTTTCACAAGAAAGGTGTACCCCATATATATAACGTAGAAGCCATTTTTACGCACCTAGACATGGAGAAATGGAGAGGTCCCCATCGCCCCTAGTCTACATGCCCGCGCAATTTCTCCCGTACACTCATTTGCTAATATCCTTTCGCCCATTTTGATAATCCTCCACACATTTACGCATGAACGAAGAGCTGGGATTTTAGTCCTATGCGATGTGAAGCGAGGATGACGAATTAGAGGCTTAATTAGAGGGCCTCAATAACGATCCGTTCCAAGTGCCGAAATAAATTTTTACAGAAAGTTCGATCAACTGGCGAAGAAGGAATACTTTTTCTTTTCTTTTTTTTTTTTTTTGTATAGCCCCCCATCGAAACATGTCTTCTCATCATGTCTGTGAGGAACTTAAAAAGCAACGGTCTGCTTAGGCTAGAAAGTAAGAGCGTCGATAAGATGGACGCGAATAACAATCTCGTAAAAAAAAGCGCCAATGTAAAAATTGTGAGGAAGAAAACGGATGGACAAATTGACAGGACCCTGACGGGCACCGTTCCCCCGCCTTCTGCGGGGGACAAGGTAGTGAGGAGGAAGGTCCTTAAGAAGGCTCAAGAAGGGGGAACCACCGCTGTGATGAACGCAGGGAGCATAGGGAATGATGGCAGAACAGGGAACTATGGTAACACAGGAAACGATGGCAGCGCTGCTAACCTGGCGGAATCAACCATGCGGAAGCAGGATGAAAAAAAGGGTTATGTCGTCCGGAACACCGCCGCGAAGTTTAGTGTGAGGCCGGGGAAGACGAACGAGGCTGCACAGAGGGATCACCTCCTTGGGGAAGATGACGAGGGGAATGGAGAGGAAAGTCCGAAGGGGAACCTCGACTATGACGATGTTGGCAGTGGTAACGGTAACAGCAATGGCAAGGATTACCAAGACAATAATAGCCCCGCTGGCGATGACGCCCCCCCTTCTCATGGTGCGAAAAAAATTCTGAAGAAGAAAAAACCCACTGAGAGGGAGCCAAACCGAAGCAACCCTTACCCAAATGATTCCATTCGTGGAACTCAATTTGAGCATGCAGGCAACCCCAACGGAAGGAGCGACAAAAGCGATAAGGTAGAAGACGACTCGGAAAATGAAATCCTCAATTCAATTATCAGCAAAAATGACGAGTCTGCCTTAGCAGAACCACCCAAGGAGGTGAAAAAGAAAAAAAAAACAATTATTGTCCGGAGAAAGGTACCCATAAGTGAGAAATTAAAGAGTGCTGAGAAGGGTAACAGCCAGCCCCTTGGGGTGCAAACAACTCCTGGCGGACGGACACCTCGCGGCGCCACGACGATCACCACCAACAATAGCAGTGGTGGAAACAGTTTCCAACCGAACGAATGCTGCGAACAGATGGTGAATGAAATAAAGATGAACGAAACGAAACTCGCAGAAATGCAACACACGCATGAGGAAAAAATGAACAGCATGGTAGAAGAAAACAAAAAAGACAAAGACAAGCTGAACACGTACATACAAAATTTAAACGAAGAAATGCACAATATAAATAATAAGCTCTGTGATGAGATGAAGGAAAAAGATACTCTAAAGGAAAGTTATGAAAATTTACGAAGTGACAAATTAGAGTTGGAAGAAAAATTTGACATTTTAAAAAGACAGATAGAAGAATCAAACGAAATGTCCACTCTCCTGAATGAAAAAGTTGCCACTCTGGAAGAGGAAAATCAAATGCTACTGGATAGGGACCAACAAAATGAACTAAAAGTTGAGCAACTGCAGAGTGAGAAAATAAAAATGGAGAAAAAAATGGAAGAACAGAATGTTATAATCAAAAAAAAGGACGAACTTATAAACAAGTACATGAGCGAAATAGAGAATTATAAAAACGTGTTGAAGAGCAAGGGAGAAATGATGATCCTTGGTAGTTCCACCACCATCGATAAAAGCATAGCAGACAAAAACAGCCAAAAGGAACAGCTATCCAAACTGATAAAGGAAAAAAAGGAACTCATTTATGCCTTCAAAAAACAGCTAGATTTGATAGTAATCCTCAAAAAGCAAATAAGCCTTCTCGAAAACAACAAAATTGTCACTATGACTTCTGGCGAGCTTAAGAAGGTGCTTCACGATTGACCGGGGGTGCCCGACCGGCGAAGCGGCATGGTAAAATAAATGACTGTGTGGTCAAGTGGTGAAGTGAAACAATTAACAAACATATTTATGACTTCAAAAAAGAAGGCGAGTTGTAAGCGACTTGTGTGGCAGGCGGCATTACCCCCCACCACACACACACACGTGCATGTATATGTGCCTACATATACACACACTCACATAAACGTGACTTTTATAAAACGTCATGAAAAAATTGGGAGGAAAAATTTCACACATCACTCAAACACGCGTTCGTGTTCAGTTACACTTTATTCAAAACGGGAAAAAAAAAAAGAAAAACACGTATTCACATACGTACGATGTACATAACTGGCTACCATGGGGCGCCAAAATGATCATTTTTTTTTGCCACCACGATTGATGAACCCCTTTTCAGCTTCAAAATAATTCTCCGCCATGGCTATGCCAGTCTTTGTAATTGCCGCGCCATCTGCGCAGCTTTGTTGATTCATCTTGCTCTCCTGCGTGATCACAAACCTAGTGCCGCCTATCACTGTCGTAGTTCGGTTTTCGCTCGTGCGTGCTGCTGTCGTCGTGCCGGTTGCCGCCCTGGCGGTTCCGCTCATCATGTCTGCTTCGGCCATCGTATCTGCTTCGCTCATCGTGTCTTCTTCCGTCATCGTATCTACTTCGTTCATCGTATCTGCTTCGGTCACCATGCCCGCTTCGATCATCGTGTCTACTTCGATCATCATGCCTGCTGCCTCCATCGTATCTTCTTCCGTCATCGTGTCTGCTTCGGTCACCAGGCCCGCTTCGATCATCGTGTCTACTTCGATCATCATGCCTGCTGCCTTCATCG